TTCCTCTCAGAGCCTGAGGGCACGCCAAAAAGGCTCTTGCCGTGGGCTCTACGCTGGCTAATAGACATAGCTAAGAAGTCTTTAACAGCTCAAACTAAATTAAACAGCTCAAACAGTGACCTTTCTGGTGTTTTCTCACCAAAATCAAGTCAAACAACTGCTAACTCTCAACTTACTGAGATGAACGGCGATCAGAAGATCTCAAAGCTTCGGGATGAGGGAGTTGTTCCCACTGTGCACACTTTCAATGTCCTTAGAGCTGCTTTCAATGATACGAACCTAGCTACTGATACATCAGGTTTTGCTGCTGAGGCAATAATTATCTCAATACAATCTTTCTCATCTTCATATTGGGAGGTCCGTAACAGTGCTTGTCTTGCGTATACTGCCTTGGTCCGCCGCATGATTGGATTCCTCAACGTACAGAAACGAGAATCTGCAAGACGAGCTATAACTGGGCTTGAGTTTTTTCACAGGTATGCTTTACCAATAACTTTCATTTATTCTTTACATATCTTTCTCTCCATCTATATCAATAGCTGTGTTCATATCAATAACTTTTGTGTTTAGTATACTTGTTCAGTTTGGACGACTGACCAAATCAAATGTTTGATGGATGCATGTTAAAGCTTTAACAAGAAAATTGACCATTTTTGTGACTGAAAAGATGTATATACCTGTTGTTGTTTGGATTGGTCAGTTCATTCATCTGAGAATGATTTACTGACGACATATATGAATAAGGGGTTAAGTATGCCAATTGTCCTGTATCATTGTTTCATTTGCATTTCCATCCCGAGTCTTATTTTCTAGACAACGGTGTCCCTAACCTTTGAACAATAGGCACCATTTATCCAAATGGGCGGTTTTTGTCAAAAATTCTGTTAGTAAATTTTTTTGAAATGACAAATTATCCTTAAATAAACCGAAAACAAATATTTTATATAAACATAAAAAGGAAATAAAACAGGATAAAGATTAAAAAAAGTCATTTCTTCTTCCCCAATACCACATCTACTTCCAGCTGTTGGTGCCCATGAAAAATGAAAAATAAAAAATAAAACTTATCACCTTCACACTAACCCCACGCCACCTGCACCACCGCCACCCATTCCCCGTTGCTGACCACAGCGAAAGTAATACCACCAAACTGAGATCCACCACTTAGCTTACAATTTTCACTGAAAAATTCCACCACCTAAATTGATGACAGCAACTTAGCAATATGTAAGGTGCAATACACCATTGCAAGTTCATTCGCAGTCCTAAAACCAGGTTGAATCTCGACGAAGTAATAAAACTTTCTTGGTTTAAGAAGTCATATTCTCAATAATCTTTGGTTATACAAGAGCAGCAGTTTTTGAGTAGTGAGTTTTTTTATCAAAAGATTAGATACCAGACTAAAATTGATACTTTTGACATAATTTCAACGTCTTCTAGGTTGGATTTATATGGACTTTTTAAATCAGAAATGAACACGAAAGAGATGGTTGATGGGCTTTTATTTTGGTTCCAGCATCACCACCACCACTCACCAGTCACCCAATACTGGCAGAGATGATGGTGCTGGCAGTGTCAGACGGTGAGTTGTGGTGGGGCTGGAACATAGTAATGGGTTGTGGGCGGGAGGCGGAGGCGGAGGCAGGTGCAGGGGCAAGTTTCCATTTCTTTATAGCCTCTTGGGTCTTCATTTCTTGAAGTCTGTCACATTTGCAGAAGAAAAAGCTTAGCCACCAGGTATTCCTTGATTTTGTAAGATGGGTTTGCCATGAAGAAAAGAATGAATGTGGTGCCTTTGTTTGGAGATTTAGGGTGGGATTGGGGGAAGAAGAAATGAGTTTTTCAATTTTTATCCTTTCTTATTTACTTTTTCCTTTTTTATATAAATTATCTGTTTTGGTTTATTTAAGTTTAAGGGTAATTGTGTCATTCCCAGAAATACTAACAGAATTTTTGACAAACCATACATTTGGCACATTTGGCTGAAGAAGTTTTTCAGAGGCTAGGGACACTGTCGTCTAGAAAAATTGGTAGGGATGGAAGTGCAAATGAAACCAAAGATTACGGACGTTTTGCATAATTTACCCTATAAAAAAATGATTTATTTATATGATATGTGTGTATATCATCAGGAGGGAAGGACAATAATGAACATTAAATTGTATATATAAATTTGGTCTTCACATTGGGGATGGTATTCTGATGATGAGGTGATCTCATGCGTTTTCAGAGATATTCAACTCATTTCCTTTTCTCTTCAACTGAAGGTACCCTTCACTGCACCCATTCGTATTAAACGAACTGAAAGTGGCTACTGAGTTGCTTTTGGATGGGTCTTCTGAATGTTTAAAATCCAACCTTAAGAGTGTTGTGCACCCAAGCTTGTGTCCGATGTTGATACTATTGTCTCGGCTTAAACCTTCACCAATCACTAGTGAAACTGGAGACAGTTTGGATCCTTTTCTTTTCATGCCATTCATAAGGAGATGCTCAGTTCAAAACAATTTTCGAATTCGTCTACTTGCATCAAGAGCTATAACAGGCTTGGTGTCCAATGAGAAACTGCAAGTTGTCTTGCTCAATATTGCCTCCGAGTTGCCTTGTGTAGAAAATCAAATCATGGCTCCTGATTCATCCACATCACTGGACTTGGCTGACAGGACCTCTGGTGCTTCCTTCAATTTAGTTCATGGAATACTATTACAGTTGAGCTCTCTTTTGGATACCAATTGTAGAAACCTTGCTGATTCATTTAAAAAGGATATGATTCTAAACGGTTTGATTCAAATTCTAGCCAAATGTTCATGGATTGGAAGACCACAATTGTGTCGCTGCCCCACCCTGAACGGCTGTTTTCTAAAGTTGCTTGACAATATGCTGAGTCTTGCAAGAACATGCCAAACAGGTGAAAGTATTGGTGCCATTTGGAACCTTCTCTGGGAGTTATCTTCAGAATGTTTAGATTTAGAACTGTCTGATTATCCACCATATTTTGATCCTACTATTTCAGAACTTCGTGAACAAGCTGCAATTTCATATTTCAATTGTGTTTTCCAAACATCTGAAGATATAGTTGAAGATGCTCTACTGATGCCAATGAATTTTTCTTCAGTTGCTTCCTATTCATTAAGGAGATATGAAATGGAGGTTGCCTCTACCAGATTTCAGGAGAGGTTGACCCACTCCATGTCAGATTTATCATATGAAGTGCGAATTGCAACAATGAAGTGGCTTCTTTTGTTCCTTAGGGCGACAGAATCAGGTATTAACAGTGGGGATCGATTTTATTCTGATGCTAGGAAAATTTGCTTGTCCAATATCAATCTCCAGGAAAGGCTGATGAAGCTTTTGGCGACAGAGAAACACCATAAATGCGTGCATTACATTCTAAAGATTCTTTACACTTGGAATCAACTGGAATGGCAAGATGACTTCCAAGAACCTGCTGACCCAAGATATATTTGTGACATGGACTGCAATTCAGTGTTCCAGTTATGGGAGACATTAGTTTCTCTACTCAGGACCACAAGGCACGCAAAGACGCGGCAAACACTTGTCTGCTGCATGGGAATTTGTATAAAGCGAATCTCCAGCTTATCTTTGGATCTTTTTAGCTCTGAACCAGAGAAGATGCCCAAGTTCAGCCAATCTGATCTCTGTAAAAAAAAGTCTGATTTCTACAAAAGCACAAGTTATTTTGTCAATCTGATAGAACAGTACGGTGACGCATCAGAGCCTGTAAATATGCGAAAGGCAGCTGCAGAATCAATGGTAGCATCTGGTTTACTGGCTCAATCTGAGGTTTTAGCTTCTTTAGTTTCCGGGGAACAATTTTCTAATGGCAATCTGTTTTCTCATATCAAACCTGAGGAGGATATTAGAAAGTATGCTGGGAGAATACTGGATCTATGGTTGATGTGCATAAAACTTCTGGAGGATGAAGATGTTGGGATTAGGAAGAGGCTTGCTTTGGAAGTCCAGAAATGCCTTGCGTTTGGAAAACCAAGGGAACACTTTTCAGCTGGTATTGCTCCAAGACAAGTAGAGAAAGTGATTGCATTGTGTTTTGAGCATTTATCATCAATCTTTAGTCACTGGCCTGATTACTTGGATTATCTTTGCTGCTGGGTGCTGAATGCTGCAAACAATGCAAACTACGTCATTTCAAGCGGAGACCTAGTCAGACGTGTTTTTGACAAAGAGATTGATAACCATCATGAAGAAAAGTTATTCATATGTCAGATTTGTTGTTCCCAGTTGGAGAAAATTCTGACTTCGAAATTTTGCACTGTTGACTTCTCTAACAAGAGTGGGTCTCGGGATTTTTTGCATGAATGGAGAAGCAGGTTTCGCCAACAGTTGGTATTGTTTGCAAGTGACCATATCAAGAAGCTGGGAGGAGTTGAGTGGATTGGTGGAGTGGGAAATCACAAAGATTCGTTTTTACCCATCTATGCAAATTTGCTCATGCTTCATGCTCTATCGAACTGTATATTCCGCTTGGAACCTGAGAGTAGTAAATCGATGCTCTCCGAGGTTCTTGAACTTGGAGAAGCTATTCATCCCTTTCTTAGAAATCCCTTAGTTTATAACCTGTATTTGTTAGTAGTGAAGTCACATGAGAAATTTTTTGGGGCAACTGACACCCATTGGACTCAAAAGTGGAGAGAAGATGGTTCTATTTGGGATGAATTTGATCCTTATTTTCTACTTGAGTGAAAGGCATAAAAGATGAATTCTGCCTGATTAAGATTTGCAAAGTAATTTATGAAATGCTTGCTAGTTGTGACGATCCCCTTGGCTGTTTACACAATTTTGATTCGATACATCTTTAAATTTAGTGGAGATGTGGTTTGTCTTCCATCCTTGTTAGATTTTGTTACTACATGCAATGATATTACAGTGGGAACAAAGAATTTGGAATTACGGCAATTTTTTAGATATGAAGCTTCAACTTTTTTAGTTTTGGCAAGTGAGGTATAGCAAGTTGCTCTAAATGATAGTTCAAGAACATGTGAACATTTCATATACGTAAAAGTTGGATCATATATCCTTGCAGGCAGCAGCCAAAGGTCCTTGTGAAACAGGTCTACGACGACCGACAATTATGTTCGATTTGCAACAAACAAAACTTTGACGGGGATATGATATGAAATGTAGAATGGAGTTTCAGTCTTCATCATCATCATACTCGTCGCCCTCTTCTCCCTAGTAGAAGCCATCGACAGAGTCAGTGAATAGTGAGACACATGTGATACTAAATACTACCAAAATATTGACTGATAACCGCTGAACATCTTGCAAGTAGCACAATGCCGTTGATGAAATAGTAAAAACTAAGAATATTCAGCAGAGATGTAAATTAAAGTAGTTGAAAAACTGAAATTCGGTGATATTATCAAAATGAAATGGTACAAACAGCTTCATATAAAGTACAGAGGGGATCAAAGTATCTCTAAAGAAGAGAAAAAGATTTATTTATTACCTCTTCTTCATCTTCTTCGGAATCTTCGTCATCAGCTACCTGTTATACAATCATAATTATCAGCCAGTTCAAATAAGTGGAAGGTGATAAATACACAGTAATAGTAGGGAAAGAAAGAAGATGTTACATTGTAAAGATATTTGATAGGATCAGGCCACAGATCCTCCTTAATTATATCTGCGACCTACAGTCTCGAAGCAAAGAAGACAATAAAGGGTTTTATACTGAACGCATATAATATTTTCCTCATCAAACGCACATGACAGTGCTTCAAACAATTGAGGGCTTCCAGCAATGGATTTACCTCATCATGTAGCCCCTCGCCTGCATCTTCCAGTTGAGTTTCACTAAACCAACTAAAGAAGCTGCATCCATAATAGTAGATAGCATGTGTCAATGAGAATACTCGTGCATAAACACGCACATATCTGAATAACTGTGTGAAAGGAAAACTGGCAAGAGTACCTCTCGGTAGATGGTGGTCGTTTGTTCCCTTTCTTTTCATCACTACGAATGTTAGCAGAGCCCTTTACGTGTAAAACGCATAAATACTTAAACATTCAAGCAGGAAGATGGGTGGAAAAGGAAAGGGGCACTTGCATGTAGTAGAAATACTGGTATGATCAAATTACCATGCCTTCCTTCCAATCAATTTTTGTGCCAGTTATCTTTGTAGGTCCTCTGTTATAGAACTTGGACGTCTTAATCAGCTTTGTATTCTCAAAGAAGGGGTTTGGCTTAAACTTCTGAAAGTTAACAGTACAAAGCATAACAATCAGCACTAGACAACAGAAAACTGATGGAAACACAGATGAAGTAAAAATAAGATGCTGGCTTTTTTTTCCTATATAATACTAAGAGAAGACTCACGAATGTAATGGAGTAACCCAATTTCAAGTCATCATCCACGTCAAGAGCATCTAAATACTTGAATATCTAGATCAAACAAAAATATCAATGATGAGGTTCCTTTAAATTCAATTATATACCATGTCAGGATTGGCCTACGATATGGGATTACATGAAATCTAAGCAATTCAAGCCTCTGTTTGGTGGGAATTAAAATTAGATTTTTTAATAGATTTTGATAGGACTAGCTGAGATATTGAAAAGTTGTGGGACCCATGAAATATATGGTTAAAATGAATTTTTAACTTTGACTGAAATTAAAATATAGATTTTAATCAATAACAAACAGGAGCCCAATAAAAAGGAAAAATAAAATTAAAATATATGAAAGTAACTAAAGCTTCCACTATAGTAGCTTTAATAGATCTAACTTAATTCTATTTCCAAGTGCCAAACAATCTTACAAGATGCACATACCATCTGGTCTTCCTCACTCAAAAGATCACAGAGTGAAGGATGACTCAACAACTGCAAGAAAAAAGTATAAAGATATGAATATTATGGATTAGGCTCTGAGAAGTATCAAACATTTGTCTATATCAATTTCACAATAGAAAATGGCTCTTCCACTCACGGCAGTTAACCAAAAGTCAGGAATAGAACTGATGATTTCATTTCTTCTCACATAAACAGGCCTCCTTATCTCGTTGTACTTTCGTTCAACTTCCAATACTTTATCACTGGCTTCTTCATTGACCTGCATGGTACCAAGCCATAATGAAGCTTCATAGTGTTAATATTTCGTTTTTCTAAGCCAAAGTTCTATTACAAATTGTGTCAAACAGCAATGCAGGAGATAGTAATCTTATTATACCCCAAAGAGACTCGAATGGATGTGTATCTCTTGAGATAGTAATCTTATCCAAATGACAAAAACGAGATTCAGTTGCAGAAGTGCATATGTTTATATCTCTATTATCAGTATTTATGCAACAATAATAATGAAGAGCCATTGGGACAAACACAAGACTTATCTCTAATGCTCTTAATTACCGACTTCTAAGCATGCTAGATCATAAATGTTTCAGAAAAGAAACATCACACAACTATAATAGAGATATAGCATCTGCCAAAAGGACTAAGTATATCAGCAACACAATATCTGATGCAGCCATAAGCAGCAAGTGAAGAAGATGCAAAAAGTGAACGGGATCAACCAGTCATAGAAAGCATATACATTTACAGGTGATGATTTCCATGTGTAAATATTGGGTTTTCTTTGCAGATGGGGACAAGCATTCCACATGGTAAACCACTAGTTAACTTCTGAAATCGTTATCGCTACAACCAATTTCATAAAATTGCTACAAAATATTCCACATGAATACATGCACTATCTTTCTTATTGCATAAAAAATAGAAATAGATTATCAATACCATAAAACCTTTCTTTTCACCATAATTTATCAAGGGGTGTCAGATGTTTTCTTGCAGTCAGTTTTTTTCTTGGAAATGAAGTTCACAAACAAATTGATACGTACACGTGTATGACTTCACATGCACATCCATGGGACACGAACTTACTCTTGGATTTCATATCGTGTTGGAGGTTTCATGGCACATGCACCTCAGTTATGTTTTTAAAGTACCAGAATTAGAAGAAAATACAAACCACTCTTCCATCTCATAATCAAGTTCATAAAATTGAAACAAAATAGACCGGAAGAGTTCAGGTTTTTCCCCTCATATTGCTCAAGAAACAAATCCTAACTGTTTTACAAAAAAAAAATAAAAAATAAATAAAAAAATACCAACTTGTCTTTTCTCACTAATTGCAGAGGCCGTTTACGTTTATTTGACTGACCACTGCCTTTTATGTAGAGATTCTTTCTTTGGTAAACAAAGTTTCCTCAACCTTCTTATCATTGGTCCAGTAAAATTATTAACGTGTTTAAATTAATATTTTCACCGTTATAGCTTTCCTATTTACGATAAATAATAAACAATGACCAGTTGAGCAAAAGATTGCAAACTGGAATCAGTCTTGTAGAAATTTTTTCATCGACTTGAGAACAATCAGAGATTTAAGCATAGACATATTCTATTTCCAGTCAGATGTCAACTAGTGTGAATTTCGAGCAAGGGATCAGCCTGAAAAAATGTTAAAAGATAGACATGCACAATGTACACCAAGCAAACGAGCAGAAACTATGCAAAAGCAATGCACGTAATCAAACATCCAACCCAACCCTCTCTTATGTCTCGTGATTCGAACCATAAACAAAAAAAAGAAAGCACAGTTAATTTGCTTCAATTTAACAATTCTCCCGAGTTTTTGATTGATTCGGAAATAAAAAATCAAAGACATCAGGCGATCGAACTCCTCAAGCCAACAACGAATTGACAATTGTACAAGCAAAATCGAGCAAACTCGCGCGTTTGATATCACTATAACAATCCCGATACCTCAAATAAAATCAAATTAAATATGAAATGAAAGTTAGTGTAAAGAAAAAATCCAATGCCTATTCACTTTCAAGAATGTTCCGAATAAACAAAATTAAAAATTACACCAACCGGTCACAGATTTATGCAAATTGCATTTAAAATTAAAGTGGTGACCTTATCGAGCTCATTCTGGAAATCCTGAAGCTTCTCGAGAGAGAAAAGGAGGTCCTTGTCATTGTGAATGTTGTCTTCCTCCGCCGATTCCACCAATTTGTCGGCAGTTTTTGGTTTCTTCGACCGGTCCGCCACCATGTTTCGAAAACCCTAATCCTTGGTTTGTGTTTGGGATTTCTCCCTCAGATGATTTGCAGGGTAGGATTGTATGTTGAGACAAGATTTGCTTGGGCTGTGGGTGGGTGGGTGTGTGTGTGTGTGTGGTGGGTGGGTGTGTGTGACATTTGTAGTTAGTTAGTTGTACAGAGTTTACAAAAGTCTTACGTTGTTCCCTTCGAACAATGCTTTCTTATACTATGGTCCCAGTGTCTTAAGACTCCACAGTTTTAATTATTAAAAATTTTAAAATACTAGTCAAACTCAACATGTATTGCACATTATTTTTAAATTTCAGATTAATAAAATAGAAAAAAGAAAAATGTAACTTTGACATTCGAATTCCAGATAAATTGTTTTCACGACATTTTATGAAATAAGCATATACAAGCACATGGGGTGGCAATAACTATCATCAATGATCAACTATTAACAAAAGTGATCGTGATCTTTTCTCGAAAATGTCTCAAGTGATCAACAATAAGAAGTTCGAACTTGAGTCATAACTTGCGATTTACCCTTGGAGGCATAATCTGCGATTTACCTCCTTCACGATGCTCCAGGGCAGGGGTGGTGGGGGACTCTTAAAGTTAGGGTTTAACCTTTTATTTTTATTTTTTTAAAGGAAAGCACAAAATTTAGTTGAAAAATGCGTTCTCGAACATTGGCGGATCTACTCAAGGTCCTAGTGGGTCACTTGATCCACATCTTCAAGTTGGAATTTTTTTATTTTTTTTAAAGAACCAAAAATTAGAATTGGGCAATAATGATAATTGGACTTTTTTTATTAGAATAGAGTTCCAACAATGACCAAACAGTTTGTGATATTTCATTTGAAAATTCTTTAAAAATTGTTATTCATCTTATATATGAGATTATTTGAATTTTTTTTGGGAATTGTTATTTATCATATATATGATATTTGTGAATCTATAATAGTGATAATGTGTATGTATTTTTATAGAATACATAATTTTTTTGTAATTTTTTGATAAACTTGATTGTGCCTCACTAACTTCAAATGTTTGCGTCTGCTACTGTTCTCAAAGATACATATTGCAATAATAAAGAGCAAAACACGACTTTCATGAAGATTTGAGAGTTCAAAGTTGTGTTGCAACTGGAAATAAGCAGGGAGACGTTCACCATGTCTTCATAGGAATTCCTTTATCTCAAAAAGTATGGAACCACTACTATGATGTAATTGGGATTCAGTTTAATCAATTTGTAATTTGCAATATTCTTATCGAGTGGATTCCATTCTCAGATAGCTATTCAGGCAATATTTTTTGTCCTAGCGAGACTTGAATTGATATGATATTTCAGCTATTGTTATTCATGATATTGATCTGATTCAAAATTGTCAATAAATAATTCATTCAGTAAATTTATAGGCAAAAGATTTGTCACCTGTGGGATTAAATCCCGGATTATTATCACCCTTCTTGTCTTACATTTCATTATAAATATATAAATACTAAATGACTAATGTATCAATTTGAAATTCGTTGATGGTTTATTTTTCCCATATATCCTCGTTGTTAGTGCGAGACTTGCTTTTGCTTTCTTTTTCCCCAACTAATAAGATGTTCTAGACGTCTTTCTATTCGAAAATCTTTGGATTTATACTTATTTTCAACTGCTTGAAATATTTTATCAATTACTATGCCCTTCTCACAAGCAACATATTTTTTGAAATGAGGTCATCAGTAACACGACATAAAATAATTTCTAGCAGATTTTTGTTTTTGTTTTTTGTTTTTTTGTTTTAAATCTTTTTATTTTAGAATATGTTGTTCTTATGTCTTAGTATGAAGGTGGAGAATTTCGCAATATTATGCCTTGAAAAGGAATCGAATCTCCACTCTTCAACACAAGATTTTGAGACTCGCATATCTACCATTTTACCACCAAGGGACTCTAATTTTATTCTCATCCTATTAACCATCAATCACGTCATAGTTATCAAATATATTCAGACCTAATTATTTTTCATAAAGTGGCAACGCAAAGTATAACCTAACAGTTTAAAGCGTTAGGTAACTAAAAATGAAGCCACGCATATCAACATAATGAGATGATTTTCTGTATAACTACTGTTAGGAATCTACTTATACATGCACAACGAAAAATTAAAAATATTTCGATTCCCACAGAGGATCCCTTTGTGTTTAGATAGAAATCGTGATAAAGATTGTGCCTTTGAAGAATTCTGCAAACCCTTTTACTTTTCTTTTAGTTTCAGTAATCTTGATTTGCCATCCACATCTATCCAATTGTCCAGCCTCCAACGGTGATCCACACAGAGAATAAGATTGCAGTTACTAGGATTTTCTCTCTTATGCCAGCAAGAATAATGAAAATCATATGAATCTCAAACTCTAGCCATGCATTTATATAAACCCAAACGGGCTCGGCCCGATCCGGTCTGGTCCAATATTTAATTAATTTATTTAATTAAACCCAGCCCATGAATTAATTAATCCAATTAATTAATTTGGGAATATAAATAACAAATCTAATTAATTAATTTATCCAACGATTGTTAAATTAACCAATTGACAATTTGCAATCTTCCAATTTTCTTTTGTGTGCGACTCATTAGGTTCCCGATCACGATGTCTAATGACGTGAAATATTATTTTGATATAATCAAAATTAATAAATTAAAACACCCTTTTAATTTATCGTCAATTCACACTCGCCGTCCTTGATTGACATCTAGTAATATGTCAGGGCAATACATGTAACAGAAAATGTTATGTAGTGTGACAAAATCAAACTCGTTTGTTTACCGTGAAACTATAATCCCTTCGTCAATATGATACGATCAATTACGAGATATGGAATTGTGTCAATCCCGAATTTCGATCATATCTTTCACTCCACTATTAAGTCAATATAAGTCGAAAACTCCTTTTCGACTTATGAGTACACATTGGCTAAGGATTTCGTTATCGACTTAATTGAATGAAACGCAGATCATAATCTCCTACTATCTAAGAGTGACGAATCCTTTATTGGTCAATCACAACCTTCATACGGTTCTTGACGTACCTGAACGATGTCGTATTAGCGGCCCTTTGCAGAGCAACATCCAACACCGTCAAAGTATGACTGTCCTCATATAAGGTACCATGAAGACCTCAAGTCTAAGGACTAATTCCACCACTGAATGTTAGAGATTAACCACTGACACTCAGATAGTTATCCAGGTGGAATCTCTCGACGAGGTCTCCAATGTTTTGTTCTATAACAAAACATCCATATGTTCATTTAAGTGTCACCACACTTTAGATTGTGAGATTAGCTACTTACTTCAAAAGTAAGAAATGCCACACGTGATGGTCTATCCGTAATAACGATATCCGTATCTCGTTTTTACTTACGACCACGGACGATTTAAGATTCAATCAGATGTAATTTGTATCTCACAATTACAACTCCTTGTGATTAACAAATTACGAATATTTGAATCTACGGACTCTATTATTTATTTAATTGTCTATTAATTAAATAATAGATCTGCCATTTAATTGCATTAATTATATATAAAAATATTTATGTCCAAAGTAGATTTGACCTAGGGCATAATACTTACAAACTCCCACTTGCACTAGATCCAATCACTTATGTATCCAATATCATAAGTCTACATGATGATCATGTTTATATTACGACAACTCTTTGTCAGTCGATCTGCAATATTGTTAAATGTGGGAATTTATTCTTCTCTTTACGTCATTTCTATGTATTATCTCTCTGATGAGATTATACCACCTTAATACATGTTTGGATCATTGACGAGGCCTTAGTTCCTTTGCTTTCGTAATGGCTCTATTGTTATCGGAATACAATGGTATGTGATCAACAATATCATGAACTACTCCACGTTCATTTATGAATATCATGATCCATATTGCAACTCTTTGCTACTTTTGAAGTAATCATGTATTAGGTTTTTACTATTGAATCAACGGTTGCTTCACGTTTGGAACCTTTCCAACGTACCGTTTAAGAGTAAACCAGTTTCTCCATATGAAATCTTCTCAAAATTTCATCTATGTAAATTGGGATGAGTTAAGCAATCTTCTAGATCTACCTCTATTGATCAAGTTGCTTATCCCATGTCGTTTATGAATAAATCTTTTAACAACCATTATTTCAACGATTGAAACATAGGGATGTCGGTTTCTATAATATTAGGAATATGACAATGCTCCCACTATCTTCTTGTAAACATACAATTTGTCTTCAAATTTGATAAAATCAAACACTTTGACTTTTTCCATCAAATCGAAGATTTCAACTCCATAGAGACTTATCTTAACCTTTAGTTACGATATGCAACTATTGCAAATAAAACCCGAATGGACTTCAACAAGGCCACAGGAGAAAAGTTTCACCAAGGTCAACACTTAACCTTTGCTTCTAGCCTTGCTTTGTATTTATGGATATTCACATCCACATCGACCATTCCCTTGTAAACTATTTACAAAACCTTATGGGTTTTATTCCATCAGGAAGCTCGACCAAGGTCCAAACTTGTTCACATACGCCGAGTTCATCTCAAGTATCATGGTCTCTTGCTGTCTCTTTTAAGTCAACACTTGACTTTATTTT